GAAATTCCTTACATGTGCGCTCTCCTAAATTGCTAGACCCTTTCTAATGTGGTGCAAATCTTCTCCGTAAAGCTCTTAATCAGATTTCAAAAATGATTAGCCCAAATGTGTTTTCAGTTTCTAGATAATCATTCTTGAGTGCAAGGAATTAACATGAAAATGGGGAACTTGAGTTGTTCCCCTGTCTTTATGTCTATATTTAGTTTGCAAAGCAAAAGTGATTGCACAAGAGATGAAATCCAGAGTTGCAGTGTTTATTTTCCAAAGTTGCTGGTGTGACTATAACTCTCTCCTCTCACACACATATCCCATAACCCAAAGAGTTGTCCCCAGATGAAAGAGCGGGTATGAAATGGGGAGCACCCCCACCAGATGCCTGAGGGAAAGTACAAAAGGAGAGCCAGTCCTCTCATCTTCCCAAAGCAGCACAAGTAAACTGGAAGACTCCAGAAGAGAAATATGATTATTTTGGGGAGATAATACCCTTTATATAATTTAGAATAGTTCCACCGTAAGCTCGGGGATTCTTCCCCTCGTCTGAGCCCTGTTGAACATTGCTGAAATCAAGATGGACCCCTGAGTCTGTCCAGGTGGGTGTCTTCCCCTTGGTTTCAGGGCTGCAAATTCCTTTGCCCAGCAACACTGGCAGGGAGCGCCTCGATTGCTCAGGAGCAGCTGACTGTTCATCTCTGTCAGAGCCTATCAGCAAACAGCTTGTCACCAGCTGCCTGGTGCACCAGGAAAAAATGGTTCCTATGTTCACAGAGATAATTTAGGTTGATAGGAATAGCATCAGAGGAAGAGAATGGCATCACCAAATCAATACTTGAGCTTCACAAATTAATGTCTTGCTCTGGCTCTGAGTTTATATTCAGGAGACCATCGCTTCCAAACAGAGATGCTAAATGGAACAGACATTTTGCTCCCAACAACAGCAAATTCCCTCTTCTTAATGAAGAGTCAACCAGAGACTTGACATATTAAAGAACATTCATTGAGAACATCCATTAACTGTGAATTTTATAATGTTTATTGTGACATGTCTCTAGGAAATACTGTGGATAAACTGGGAGAGGGAAGCTATATGCCTGGCATGAATGCTGGTTACAAGAATGAATCTTTCCACACCACGTTCACAGCTGCATTATTCACAGTCCTAAAACATAGAAGCGACCCAAGTGTCCATTGATGGATGAATGGTAAACAAAATGTGGTAGATACATACAAAGGAATATTATTTGGCCTTAAAAAGGAAGGAAATTCTGATACATGCTACAACATGGATGAACGTCGAAGACTCTGTGCTAAGTGAAATAAGCCAGGCACAAAAAGGACAAATAACGTATGATTTCACTTATATGAAGTACCCAGAGTAGTCAAGTTCCTAGAGACAGAAAGTAGAGTGGTGGCTGCCAGGGGCTGGGAGGAGAGGGCAATGCGAGTTACTGTTTACTGTGGATATAGAGTTTCAGTTTGAGAAGATGAAAAAGTTCTGAAGATGGATGTTGGCGATGGTTGCACAACAGTGTGAATGTACTGAACTGTACACTTAAAAACGGTGAAAATGGTAAATTTATGTTATGCATATTTTGCTACAATAGGGGGAAAAAAAAAAGAATCTTTCATCCATCAGCCAGAGAGCAAGCTCTTTATTTAAAAGGATCTCAAAATCATTGGCTCCAAAGAGGTTTCTTGGAAATGTTCAGTAGAGTACAAATGGTTTAACCCCTAGTTGAGTTTACTTTTGGACATAAATTCATAATCATATGGGTGGCAAACTAATTACATATCAATCAGCCATGCAAAACAACATAGATTTCGGAGCCGGCCTCATGGCCGAGTGGTTGAGCTCACGTGCTCTGCTTCGGCAGCCCAGGGTTTTGCCAGTTCGAATCCTAGGCACCGACACGTCACCGCTTGTCTGGCCATGCTGAGGCAGCATCCCACATGCCACAGCTAGAAGGACCCACAGTGAAAAAAAAAATACACAACTATGTACGGGGGGGCTTTGGGAGAAAAAGGAAAAAATAAAATCTTAAAAAAAAAACATAAATTGCAACATGTGACATAAGATTTACCAGCTAAGTAGTTTTCCTATCTTGTAGATCAGGGCTTTTTAAATTTGGATATGCATGGGAATCACTCAGGCATCTTGTTAAAAATGCAGATTTTAGGGCTGGCCTGGTAGCGCAGCAGTTAAGTTTGCATGTTCTGCTTCAGCGGCCCGGGGTTTGCCAGTTCGAATCCTGGGTGTGGACATGGCACTGCTTGGCAAGCCATGCTGTGGCAGGCGTCCCACATATAAAGTAGAGGACGATGAGATGTGAGCTCAAGGCCAGTCTTCCTCAGCAAAAAGAGGAGGATTGGCAGCAGATGTTAGCTCAGGGCTAATCTTCCTCAAAAAAAAAAAAAAAAAAAAATGCAGATTCTGATTCAGTAGGTTGAGGATGGGGCCTGAAATCCTGTTTGTCTAACCAGCTTCCAGGTAATGCTGATTTTGCTGGTCCAGGGACTCCATTTTAAGTAGCAAGAGTGTAGACTTCTCTTCAGTTAGGATTCCTGTCCACACCTTAGAGATAACAGTCCCCTCCTTAAAACTGAACACAGGTGTCCCCAGGTTTGAGTGGAAGGAGCATCTCTGGGTGATGTGAATTATTTCTGGGATCCTCTCACTTTGCTTCTTACTGCCATCAGAAGCCAGGTCTCAGGGATCTTCAACGCCTTCTTTTTCTCCAGCCCAAGCATGGCCAAACCATAAATAAATCCCCTGCTCTTTAGGTATAGGCCAGATCCTCTGCAATTTCTGAAATCACGCTTACAGGAAGGAAGGAGGGAGGGAAGGCAATCCGTCAAAACAGAGACAGAGTGACAGAGAGAGACAGAGGGAGGATAGAAAATGAGGAAAAAAAAAAAAAAGCAAAAGGCTTTCTTTGAAGTCCTCTATAAGAATCCTTCAATGGCTCTCCACTGCTTTCAGGCTAAAAGTTCAGACTCCATAGAAGGGCTTAAAGGAGGCTGATGAGATCCCTGTCCATCTTCCCCAGCTCATCTCTTGCCATTCCGCTCCATGTTTAGCCATGACAAACTCTGTTCTTCCTTGCTTTTACAGTTGTTCTCCCTTGATCTGAAAGCTCATCCGCTCCTTGTATCACCTGGCTCAGGCATTGTCTCTTCCGGAAAGACCTCTCTAACCATGTTGCTGCCCTCATTCCCTCCCCCCTATGTTGGGTTGTCCTTCTCCGTCTTCAGTTGCACACAGTGCTTACTTCTATCACAGCACTTCATAGTGTATTTTCATTATATTCTCTTGTCTATGTTCCCTACTGGACCATGAGCTCTTTGAGGGATGAGAAGATGTCTTTTGTCCCCAGCACAATGTCTGGAACACACCAAGTGCTCAAACAATGCTTTGTGAAAGAATGAGCAAATGCGAAAAAAAAGTAGCATTGTATAACATTTGAAGACGACATTGCTTAGTTCCCCAAACACCATGAAGTTGCCTCAAAATGACTTCTCTAAGGGTCAAACACATTGACACCAATTTCTGTGTTCCAGCAAATGTGACTGAACTCCCCTATTCTGATAAACTGTATTTCCCTAGCTTCCTCATTTTATAGTTTCTGCTGTGGAAGACCAAATGCAAAGAAATACACAAGGTGAAACCAGTAGTTTTTACAGAATTTAACAGAAGGCTAGAATCGCTGAATATTAGTATACTAGTTGTACTCTTCTTATTGCCAATTTGACCCTAAAATAAGTCTTTAAAATTGCAATGGCTCCAAATTTGAGATCTCGGGGCATCTAGCTCTTATTAGTAATCTCCAAATCGGTGTATCTATATGTGTATCTGTAGGTGTTTACATGGATACTGTCTGCTTTATGCAAAGTATTGTGCCAGGGGCTCTGGGGATTATCAAACTCCTGCTGTCAAAAGCTTTGCCCTTTAATGCTAGTCCCGTTGAATTCCATGGCCTCAGCACCTACCTATCCCCTGGTCAATCTCTACCCTCCATCTCTCTCATCAACTCTAGACAGATGTTCCTAACAGCCGATGGGGCCTGCCTGCCTACCTAAATGTCATGAAAGCATCTTAAACGCAACGTCATTATCTTTCCTCCCAAACCTGCTCTTCTATTACCTTCTGCAGTTAATGGAACCCTCATTTCCTCAGCTGTGCAGGCTAGTGATTTCTAAGTCATTTTTAACTTCTTCTCCCATCAATCATCGTCTTTTGATTCCATCTCTCAATTCTTCCTTAAACATATTCTGTTCCCTTTTTCAACTATTAAGACCTTATGACTTCTCACCTAGATTATTGAAATAATCTTCTTGTTAATTTCTTTGCCTCCAATCCCTCCCCACAATAATTCTTCCTTCAGACTGCTACCAGAATATCTTTCTAAAGCCCAAACTTAATACTGTCCCTCCTTTACTTAAAGTCCTTCAACAAATCCCCTTTGTCTATAAAATAAAGTCCAAAGTCCATAGCAAGACCTATGTACGAAGCTCTGTGTGACTTACCTTTTATCCCACTTACCTTTTCAACCTCCTCTTCTGACACTCTCCCTACATACCACATACCAAACTCCTTACCATTTCCTCAGCATACTGTGCTGACTCCTCTTTTGGGGACTTTTCAGATACTCTGGAATTTCAGCCTAGAAAACTCCTGTTCTCTTCAAGATCCACTCAGATGTCACCTCTTTTGTGAAACCTTCGCCTCCAAGCACCTAGTACATGCTTCTATGATAGTACCTCCCATATTATAGTATAATTACTTTTTATATGTCTCTTTCCCCACCTAGACGGAAGTCCTAGAACATAGGGACCATGTTTCACTGTGTTTTGTATCCTGGCCTTTGACGTAGTTCTTGGTGCATATCAAGCTTGCCCTAAATGTTCAATGAGTGATTGACCGAATAATTGAATGAATAAATAATTGACTGTGATATGAGTCAGAATAGGAACAGTAAGAAAGGTGCAAATAACTGCTGCTGGAGGGTGTTCAGAGGACTGAGTCACATTTATTTGGGAGACCAAAAAAGACTGTGTAGTTGATCGCAATCTCTCAACTTAACCCTATACATTTGTCTATGCCTTAATGCAAGATTCATTTGGTAGGCATGGCCCACTCCTTCTCCAACTTCCTCCACAAAATGAAACTAGTTTTACCTTCTGTCTCTGGTATCATAGTAGATCTTGAATTCATTTTAGCTTTGCATATAGTAATCTGGTTTCTTATAATAATTTACCTATTGATAAATGGAGATTCCTTCTTTTTTCTGAAAAGGATTTGTGTCAGTCTCATCATTGATTGTGTTCCTACAGTAGCTACTTGTATAGGGGGTACCCAATAAATGTTTGTTGAATGAAGAAGCAAAGGATTGCTCAGGCCCCGCTGGTACTTCTGGGTTGCTTGGCAAATACTCATACCTTTTGAGAACTAGCTGTGGTACTTAGCTGGAGCACTCTCCGTATCTGGCATGTTTGACTGTATTGCTGTCCATTTTCAACTAATTTGGGTTATACCTTGTTTCACACAGATCTTTTGAACTTAGAACACCAAAGGCCTGTGTATCTTCACGGCTCATAGCTCCTGTGGTGCTGATCTGCCCCAATGTGGTTAATGTTTAGCCCCTAAACCACTGGCTAAATGTCCTTAAATCTGAAAGAGTCACAAGCACAGGTCAATAGATAGCTTGGGTTTATTTAGTGACAGATGCTTTGTGGATGTCACCTCAGTTATCCTTTTAGTGTCCCTCTCAGGTACATGTTATCCTCCTTTCCAAAAAAAGAAAAGGGATCACAGAGCAGGAGAATCCAACCCAAGGGCAGTTCCAGAGAGGTGAGATCAAGGAGCAAAGTCTGTCAACCTCCAGAACTTTCCTGAGGGCCTGTTGTGTATAGGGGCCCTGCACAGGATTTGGAAGCCAATTCTCTGGATTCCCAGGCCTGTGCTAGACTCACCAGGGAATTAGGGGATACCTGCATTTTCTACAGGCTGAATTGTTCCCTCAAAGCAAAATTCTCATTTTATATATTGTCTTTCTATCGTGGACAGTTACTGGTTGCTGCCCCCTCTCTCTTCCTAATAGATTTCTAAATTTCTGAGCCATGTAGGGAGGGCCCAACTTTCCTCCATCCAGGGATGGACCCCACTGGGTTTGAGCCCATCAGTGTATCTATCACTCTGAGCTAGGTCATCGCTTTAGGGGAGGCCTGTGCCCTGAAATGGTCTAATCAGAGTGGACCTCAGGAGTCTGTAGGGAATGTTGGCACTTGGACTCTTCTCAGCCTGGTAAACAGTACATCTTATTTCTCCTGCAGTCATAGTGGAAAGTGTGGAGCTGCCAGGAGAGAGGAGGGGTTGCATCATATGGTGACAAAAGAATGAATCCCACCCAGAGGAAGCAGAGCCAAGAAATGGATCCCTGTTGTTTGAGTCCTGGATCAAATCGTGCCTGGATCCCCAGTGAGCCAATAAATTTTCCTTATTGCTTCAGCCTGTTTGAGATGGTTTCATTTCACTTGGAACATTAAACTTTCTAATTGATGCACCCTAGTTAGATTATAAACTGTGTGGCAGCAGAGACTGTCTCTCTTGATCACCGTTGTACTCCCTGGCACATAGTAGGCATTCAATAAATAAGTTTTGAATGGATACATTTCAGCTGGAAGGAACACCTTCTATAAACTCCCCTTTACTCATTTGACAACTAAAGAACCTGTTGTTCTATAAGAAAGTAGTGATGTGGTTCTAGAAGCCAGGGTTTCATCCCAACACAAGGCTTTTTCTAACCACCAGGAAGCCGCCTGGTAAATATGTTGGGGTCTTTGAGGAGACCTCAAAATAGCAGTCGCCTCCCCTTTTCTGCGAGTTTTGAAGTGAATCAGAAGTAAGATAGCAGTAAGCTAGATGAGGACCGAAAATAACCTTTATTACTAATAAGGCTGATATTAGAGAATGTGGCTTACATTCTCAGGCCAATGAGCTTCCTGACACTTGGCCTCAAAATCATACGTGGACACTCAGCAATAGGCAGCTGGGCCAGAATGGGCCTCTCCTTTCCACCCTGCGGGAGGAGTGTTGACTCCCAAGAAGAAAGGAAGAGAAGATGGTATGAGGCATAGTTTCTCCTTCCAAACTCATCAGTCATCTTAAACCACTCCTCCTTCCCAGGGAAGAATGGGGGTGGGGGAGGGTGGTGAGAAGCCAGGAGTGTTATGCTAATTGGGCTCCTTTCACAAGAAAGAAAACAGCAAGAGCGGGAAGACAAGTCTCCCTAACACACGTCAAGTGCCATTTGGTCAGGTCACTTGATTCTGCTTTGTTTTCAACCAAAGTGGGTTATTTTTCAAAGTGGTGGAATTAGTTTGTTGCCTAAAATATCATTCTCCGTGGAATAACTCACACACTGCAGTCATATCAAGCCCCCAAAGGAGTCCGAGATCCTCCTTTAAAATCAAGCAAAATTCAAAGAGAGAAACAAGAATTCAAGATCAAATTACACAATCAGGGGCTCTAGGTGGCAATAATCCTTGTGCTCGCTCACCATGCCCATCAAAGGCATTTCAAGAGCACTGAAATCTCGCACACTTCCCACGCCGACTGTCAGTTTCTTTCTCGCTGATCTCAGAGCCACACGGTGCCTATTAGTCACTGGGAGAACAGAGCCAAAGTTTAACTCCTTGGTGGTTCAGGGGAAAACGACACTTCAAATTGGATTCCAGGAAATCCAGGGAAATACTAGACAGGAAGTCGGTTACCATGTTCCTAATTTCCCCAATGTCAAGGCTCGGAATGGGAACATTTTTCAAAACAAACAGTCCAGCAACGTGACCGTCTGCTGCAGGCTTTTGGTTTTACTCACCAGGCCACTTTTGCCTTCTTCAGTTTTTGCTTTTTTAAGGTAAACATTTACCATCCAGGCTTCAAGAGGCTTTCCCAGAAAACCATTGTTTGTAAATCTGAAGTTTGGTGGACAAATGGATTACCAGATCAACTGAACGATAACTCCCTAATTTAGTCAACAGTACATTTAAAATTCAACGGGTTTTAGTGAAAACTGTGGTATTGTTTGTTTAATGTGACTCTGAGCATAGTGAGAACCAGGATCTCCTCTGGTCTGGCTGCCGAGACAAAGCTTTGATCTCATCCTGCGCAGCTCACTGGTGGACTTTTTGCTGGAGGTCACTAAGTAGGCTTTGCTGGCTGGTCCTGGGAGAGAACCCAAGTTAACAATGGAAACCCACGACACAGCAGTTGGAGACAATATGTTTCCATCCTCTGTTCTAAATGCAAAGCTATTTTCTCATTATTACCTGCCCCTATTTTTACCATCAGCAGCTCTCCAATGCCACTTTAGCTATCGATAATTGGCAGTGAGTTTTGCAATTAACAGCTGCCCAGAATCAATTCCAAGGAGCTGCACTGAAACCAGCCTCAAAAAAGCAGATTTGGGGATTGCTCAGCTACTTATCTGTCCTCCAATCCTTTTCTTACCCCACATGTCATCTGCTGGAAGAAACTGAAACTTGAACCATGTGCCTAAATGCCCATTTCTGAGTCTGTGGTGGATATTTGAGAAATTCTCGGATTGATTGATGATGATCGATGTGTACCTAGAGGAAGGAGACGGGCAGTTCCATGAAGAGTTGCTGTGTAATTCACAATGAAGAGTGATTTTCCTGCTGACTCCTAACTCCTTTCTAATTTCAGACCAAAGACCCCAGGGAAAGATTTGGGTAAGAAACTTGGCCTCGGAGAAAAGCCACTGAAGTCTGTTTGCTCCCCAGAGGAGAAGCAATAGGGAATTGCCAAGTGTGATGGGCACGTCTCAGTCTTTGCTGATTCATCTTGCTCATCAACTGTATCAACGACGGGCCCTCTCTGAGGCTGAACTTCCCACCTCACCCAGCCAATTGGAGACATAACTCCAAGCTTTGGTTAGTTTCTCACAGCTTCCGCTCATGAGTGGCCTGGAGGGAGCCAGTCCTCTCACCACGCCCTCGAAATGACACTTTCTAATACTGCAGACTGTGGGGGCTCCAATCACTTGAGTGCAAGGAGGTACATGTTTTTAGGGACATTCTGTCATCTGGGCAGCCTCAAATGGTTGTTTTTTCTCTCATTCCTCAGCTCCTGATCTGGTGAGGTTGGGGCAAGAAACCCTCCAAGGGTGGCAACCTTGGAAGAAGTGCTTGCTAATGCACGAGGGAGGGCAAGGGGGACAGCCAGCTGGAGTCCAGAGCTGCTCAAGCTCCTGAAACCCTCAGTGTGCTCAGGCAGAGATTTATGGGCCTGCCTTCTCCTCGTGATTCCACACTGTGCTTCTTTGAATCAGCCTCAGCAAAGCAGCCATCATGGGGCCTGGTGTTTACCGCAGAGACTGAGATAACAGAACCATGGAGATGCCACCCCTGTTTGTATACTGACCCAGTGGTCAAGGAGTCAGCCCCTTGGCCCGAGGGCAACTTTGGTTCTGTTTCCTCTGTGCAAAACGCCAGAATGCTTCTGCCTCAAAGAGGTCGACTCTGTTGTCAGCTGTGGGAAAAAACAGCCAGAGTTGCTATTTACACCCTGAACTGCAAGCTGGGTAAAAATAGCGCTAGCAGCTTGGTCCAGCTTCAAACCCCACTGCAGAAAGAGATTATTTTTGGAAGAGAAGATTTTCCTCCCCACCCACAGATCTGAAAATGGTCACCTCCCGGGAGGAGAAGAGGAGAGGCAATCCCATGCAAAGGTGAAACATACCCCCTTCTCCATCCCCCTGCGCAGGACAGCACACGGAGAGCCAAACCAGCCATGCCCTCCCCTGACAGCCAGGGCAGGGCCCAGCACAGACCTGCAGGGAACCTAGTTCAAAGCATAGTGGGAATTAATTAACTTTGACTACAGCAAGAGGAGGCTGGAGTCTGAACCCGGATGTGCCACCATCCTGTTGACTGTTATTGCTGTTAGGCTATTTGTTTGCCTTTCAAAAAAAGGAAGAAAAAGGAATTGACCACAAGAGCACGTAAAACCCAAAAACAATGGCTTAGACTATCTACTTCCTAAGGGCTTGGAAATTACTCTCCAGCCCTCTCACACTGGGTCATAATATGGCTATGAAATGATGAACAAACTCCCATGAGCCTGGTCTGGTCCCACCTCTGTATTTGCTGCTCCCTGACAGCCGGAGGCTGAAACTTGTCCCTCCTGTATTTGCTAGAGCTGAGGACCTGGTGTTCGGGGTACGGCATCTCTTTCAGGTTCAGGAAGTGGCCCATATGGCAATCAGTGGAAGGAAAGTCACTTCTTTCTTTTCTGTGAAAAGGTATTTCATAGATCCATGTAGGTAAGTAGACTGTGACAATTGTTTAACTCTGAAGACATGTACACATGAGGATAGTTCTAGAATATGTGAAAAACAGCAGAGAAAAATACCAGATCAATGCTGTCTTTAGATTATTCTATAAATTGAAAGTGCCCGGGCCACCCGGAGCTGAGCCCAATAGGCACTTAATAAATATTTTTAGGAAGGATGGGAAAAAAAATCTCCCACACCCTAACTCCACCTCAACCTCCTTCTTCAGAGATCCAGGAACCAAAACGAACCTTTCACTTTGAGAAAACTCACCTGGGCATACCTACCCCACTGAGGGAAGGGGAGAAGATTACACGTCACTCCCCCAACTTCTCAGCACCTCCTGGCAACACACACGCAGACCCTGATCCCCCTGACCTCGGATCTAGGGAGAAAAAGTGGAAGAGATGGGGACGTGCCTCAGCTCAAAAGCAGCTCACTGCCGCCTGGCTTCTCCTCTGGCCCCACACAGTCCTCGTTTCAGTCCTGTCTTTGTCACCTACTAGCTATGTGACCAAGTCACTTTACTTTTTTTTTTTTTTTGAGGAAGATTAGCCCTGAGCTAACATCCGTACCCATCTTCCTCTATTTTATTTGTGGGACACCTGCCACGGCATGGCCTGACAAGAAGTGCCAGGTCCATGCCCGGGATCCAGACCCGCCAACCCCAGGCCGCCAAAGCAGAGCATGTGGTCTTAACCACTGCACCACCAGGCTGGCCCTGACCAAGTCACTTTACCTTTTTGAATCTCACTTTTTTCCTCTGAGAGTTGATAATACTCACCTGGAGGGGTTGGTGTGGACTAAATGTAGCGGCACATGGAGAGCACGTGTTCAGTGCTGGTACAAAGTAAGGGATACTATGAACCCAGCATCCAGGAGCGGTTCTAGTTTTCCTGTGGCGTGCCATGGGCCGGATTTTGGAATTGATCCTGCTTCCAGCTGCCAGATGGTGGCAAGTGTACCAAATGGCTAAAATCTTAACTTTCTGAAAAATGCATTGCATTTACAGAAATTACTGAAAAATTTCTCCCCCATCATCAGGCCCTTCTGCACTATGCCCTTCGGTCATTGTGGGCCTTCACCTCTCTGCTTCCACCTTTCTGTAACACCCACTCCCCCAAGCCTTATCAAGAAGCCAGAAATAGAATCTCCCTACTCAGATGTCTCTGCCAATGGGGAGCTCTGGCCTGCTAAGGGCTGGGTCAGCTCTGGCTTCTCAGCTGAGGGAGGCCACAGAAATGTAGCCCCAGCGTCCTTTTCCAAGTCGCATGGACTGCTGACATTGTGAGGGGCGAGCTGCTGCTCTGCTGAGTCATAGCTATCTAAGCTGTTTGTTCTCAGGGCTCTGAGACTCCCCAAGGACCCAGGGAAGACGGCTCTATATCCCTTAGATCAGGACTGCTTCAGGTTTCTCTTTCCAAAGTTGAGAAATCCAGATAGTGCTCACTCTGGCCCAGGAACGAAATGAGCTCAGGTCTCTTTCCCGCTGACTTCTTGCCAAGGATTGTAGGCCAAGGTGGCCAGGCTCTCCCCTCCAGCCTAAGTCAGCTTCCTCCCGAGTCAGCTTTCTTACCTCCCTATTAATAGCCACTGCTTTGGCTGGCTCCCCTCACAATATGATTACAGTTTAATAATGCATCTCAAATAAGGAAGCAGCAAACTTCCTGAGCTGGGTTGCAGAAGGCCAGTAGGGCTCACGCTCCATCCCAGAAGGCAGAGTCCGGGGCTTGTTTTCTGCAGAAGGAGCAGCATGATAGAGGTTGGGGTGACTAAGTCATTGGCCTCCAAGACAAGTCGCTGCTTTGGGATTTCTGTCTTGCTGAGCTGCTCCTAGTTCAGGGCAGGAGACAAGCATGCAGGCTAACTTCCATTTTATTAGAGCCTTTATTCCCACAGATATTCCTGGGCAGGGCTGAAAATTGTGACTCTTATCTAACAAGAGTCGTCAGTTACCTTGGATGGAAGTTCTGGTCCAAGTTGGGGTTAGTCTCTACCCAGGTCACCTTTTCTCTGATGCTACAATAACAAGGTCGCCTATTGAGAGAGGCTCAGCTTATCTGGCTGGCACAGGGTGCTGAGAGTAGATTGAACCGCACCAAAACAATTTTTTTCACACCACCCTTCTCCCCCTCCTCCGTCTCTCCCAAGTAAAAGCAGACTTGCTAAACGGTCTTTAGTGTTCGATTCATGCTGATAAGCAGTGTAGTCTGGTCACTATACTTTGTTCCCGCATTCTTGTTCTTGGGCCCTGGATGAGAAGAACACACAAGTTTAGGAGCCAGACACCCTGGGTTCAAATTCTAATTCAGCGTCTTAGCTGAGAGGGCTTAGTAAATTTATTCTACTTTTCTGAACCTCTGTCTTCTCATGTATATAAAAGGAATAATAATCTATCCCAAAATGGTTTTAATACAGGTGAAATGAGATAAATTTGGAAAATATGCCTAGTACAGTGCCTGGAATATAGTAGATGATCAATAAACTGTCTTAATTTTCTTACCAGAATATAAGAGGCAGGGAAATGTGAGGGTAAACCAAAGCCACCCAAGCTCCTCACACTAATGGAAAAAAGTGACTAGCATCTCTAAATGCGCAGGCCCATGACATAAATGTCTCTGATAAGAAGGCTCATGGAGACAAGCAGAACTTGGTTTCCCTTCTCTAGATTCATACCAGTTAGAAGCCCAATCTGAACAGCGATGCCTCTTGCTAAGACCATCGTGAGAGGTCTCCTAGACCCATTTATCTTCCCTAATGACATTTATCAGAGGTCTCACAGTTCATAAACACAGGATGGCATCAAGAAGAATGGGTAGGCGAGGGTAGAGAAGGGCATCCATCTGTTCCACACTATGTGCTAATCTACATTTCAAGGTCCCCCTTAAAAGAACCAGGTCGACCAGACCTCAGGGTGAACCCCGCTATCAGCAAGGACAAAGGAGAAACAAAATATCATGCATGCCCTGTTTTTCAACCTGCTGAGAAATAATCTGCCCCCAAAACACCTGCTTGTTAGATGGCAAATAATGGTCTCCAACCCAGAACCAGCTCGCTTCCCTTAGCCGACTACTTCAAGTCTAGGGGTGGCAGACTTTGTACTTGCTACAGCTTGCTTCCTTCTTGCTTGCCAACAACCGGCATATGTCTGATGGGAGCCAGCCAGAGCTCCTGGCAGCACAAAGTGGGGCAAGCCCCAGCATGACCTGCCTCACCATGTTCTGCCCCCAACTGAGCACTGACTAGGGGCTAGCGTTGGGGAGGAGAGAGCTGGGGCTAAATTGACTCAGGCTCATTTCCATAAAAGCAGCCCAGAATTCCCTCCCCCTCAGCAGACAAAGGAGCAAGACTTCCCCCTGATGCTTCCTGGGGAGTGGTCCTTATTTCCCCTTTGGACCTATCCTTGGTATTAACTCTAACCTGATTTCATCTATATGCAAATATTGAGGAGGATGAGTACACAGTAATTTATTTACACACCACAGAGTGCCCAATTTAAGGATTAGCCACTTGGACACCATTCATTCCTTTGGTCACCCAACAAATAGTTTCTAAACATTTACCTCACACCAGCACTGTTCCAGGTTCTGAATACCCATCGGTGAATAAAACAAAGATGGTCTCTGCCCTAGGGGGAGAACCAGACAATGAATATGAAAATTAATAAACATGCAATTACAAGTTGTGAGAAATACTATTGAGAGAATTCTCAGGTACAGTAATAGAAAATAATGGTGTGTGGTGGGGTCTGTTTTACATGAGACGGTCAAGGAAGGCCTCTCTGAGGAGGTGACATTTAGGGACTCAGTGAGATTTCCGTAGCAGCTGCCCATGAAGGTCTCCCCCAACTGCTTGACTAAGTTCTTTTCTCTCTTAATGAAAGGCTCTGAGAAGAATAAAAGGGTACTTCAGCCAGGTAGGCAGTGAAGAACATTCTGGAAGAAGGCAGGGTGCTACAAAACTCTTCTTCCTGGTCTCCAGCTGTGGACACATTACTTCTCTTCCCTTTCTCCACCACCCTACCCTGAATCCATCTGTCCTCTGTCCAGGGACTTTCTGGCACACTTGTTTCCCTAAAGGCTCTTCCTCGTTCCTGTCCTCCAGAATGTTCTCGTCACTGTGAGGACATTGCCCTCCCTGGCACAACCCAGAGAAGCCCTTCATGAGCTCATTGTCGTTGAAAATAGTTTTTGTCAAGGTCCCCACAGTCCTGCTCTTGAATCTCCAGAAGCCAAATAGCTCTGACTAGCAGTAGATGAAACTCACCATTCCCGCTGGGCCAGCAGACTAATCACAGAGTCTTCTTTTCACTGTAGAACTCTTTCTTTCAGGATTGTTTTCCTAAATTAGCATTAGATAGGTTGATATCAATGCCATCTACCCCTGTGTTGAGGAGTTGGCTCTCTAGACTGTTGTGGAACCAGCCCAGACATCAGAGCCAGATAGACCTGGGTTTGAATCCTAGCTCACCTCTTTATCAGTTTTGTGACCTTGGGCACGTGGAATCTCCTCTGGACCTCAGGTTCCTTATATGCAAGATGAGGGGGAGGATAATACCTACTTTTCAGAGTTGGTGTAAGAATCAGCCAAGAGGTATGCAAGATGAATGGAATGTGGAAGGTGCACTACAAATGGGAGTCTTTGTTATTACTTCAGCTGTGAAATAATCTGAGTAGAATTTTGGCAGTGTCTCTTTTAGGAAGGTAATTGATTGCTCTGTTAACAGTGGGGGCCAGTTCTCCATTTCACCAACCATTTGGCCACAGTAGCTCTTTAATCTGAGTATTGCTAAGAACCAGGTGAAAGGAGGACACTTCAGGACACAGTAAAGGGCATAGATCCCAGAATCTTGCATTGGAAGGAATCCTGAGAAAATTCCAGTCCAAGTTCTTGCTATCAGGCAGGACTGAATTTAAATTTCAGACAGATGGAAATCTTTTCTAATACATAGTTGAGCAGCCGTCACCACACTGCCCCAGCAGTACTGCTCCGTGATCACACACACTTTATTGGAATTATTTCAGTCATTCAATCATTAATTCAAAAAATATTTACAGAGCACCTACTAAGTGCCAAGTAATATTCAAGGCATATGGATATGGAAGCAAGAAGACAGACAAAGTCCTGCCCCTCATGGAGCCTGGCTATATGTAGAGATTAAAAAAGAAAGAGAGAGAGAGAGCAGTGATATGAAGAAAATAAAACAAGGTAACAGGATAGAATGATGAGGGCTGGCACAATGAGGTGGGGTGGCCAGAGAAGTCCTCTCTGAGGAGAAGACATCTGACAGAAACCTGATGGGTGAGAAGGAGTCAGGGATGGGAGGAATGGAGGAAGAGCATCCTAAGCAGAGGAGACCTCGGCGCAAAGTCCCTGAGCAGAAACAAGCTTGATGCGTTCAAGGCACAGAAAGAACGTCCATATGGCTGGGGATAGTGAGGCTGCAGGTGCCAGAGTATGTAGGGCCTTAAGGTTGAATTTTATTCTAATTGCAGGGTTTTAAGCAAAGGACCAGCAGGGTGTGATTTATGCTTTGAGACGATCCCCGTGCCTATTCTTGGAAATGTATTATAAGGGGCATGAATGAAAGTCAGGAGACCAGTTAAGGAGGTTGTTGCTGGAGTCCAGACAAAGGGAGCTGGTGGCTTGAACCAGGTTGTAACATGATGTAACATCATGGTGAAAACTGGCCACATTTGAGATATATTTTGGGGTAGAGCTCACTGGACTTATCTGTGGGTTAGATATGGGGCGGGGGCTAGTGATAGAGAGGAATCAAAGATGACTTCTAGATTTTGAACTAATAATAAATAATAATAAACTAGGAGGATAGTAGTGCTGTTTAATGAGATGGGATTGTTTGGGAGAAATTATTTATTCCATGTCTTTCTTCTCCTCTAGATCGTAAATTCCATGAAGGCAGAGCCCCTGACTCTCTTGTTGATTACATAATGCTCAGTGTCTAGCACAAAGCCTGGCTTGCAGAATAATAAAAGCAACTACCAATAATGAAGTGTTTAATACATGCCCAGCTTCATACTTTATATTCCTTCTCATTTAATCCTCACAAGAGAAATGTGAGGAGATACTTTTTTGAATCCTTATTTTACAAACAAGTATTTGGGTTCAGAAAGGTTACATGACAGCCTCAAGGTCTCACAGCTATTAAGTGCTAAATCTTAATAGTGGTGTGTCTAGCTCCAAATTCTATGCTCTTCACCACTATAACACATAGTCAAATAGTCTGTATGAGTAGATGGGTGGGTGGATGGCGGGCTGGCTGGATGAGTAGAAGGCAACATCACATGCTCAAAATTATTTGTACCAAAGTGTCTCTCTGAAAGTGGCAGAGATTCAAACTGGAAGGATCTACTCCTGAAAGGAAAAAAATAGAAGAGCCAACCATAAATTCCCACTAGGGTTATTCCCAGGCATTCAGAGGGGATAGAATTCACTTGGGGAAAAGACATATAGAAAGTTCTAGAAAGACTTCTTAAAGTAAAAAAACAAAGCAAAACAAAAAACTTAGAAATCTGAAGAAATTATCTTTTCAGGGAGCATTTCCTAGTACTTTTTTCAATGATCTAGGATTACTTGAAGAGTATTAGGACCACATGAAACATTTTTGATCGTTTGAAAAATATCTTCTGAGAACCTTGATCAGAACAAAGGCAGAAAATATTACTGTGAGTCAGGCAGCCCAGAACCTGGAGCTACTCCAGAGTCAGATATTACTTCCATGGCTAAATAAGTACATCAGATTTTAGTGATGGTTAATCAGGATCAGTTTCACAGTGTTTCTAGCAGGTGCTCTGTTAGACTGCAGGCTTTTCAAGGAAAGTACCCTGCACCCAGTTCATGTTGACATAATGACTCAGGTCAGAAACCTGGGACACAGCCCAGATCCTTCCCTGTCTCTCACTAAAATGACATAACTAGAAAATTTGTTGAGAACTTAATATGGCAGACACTGTTCTAGGCACATGGATCTCATTTGATCTTTATCACAACCCTATGCTCTAAGTACTATTATTATCCTCATTTTATAGTTGAGGAGACTGAAGCAGATGGCATTAGTAATTTGACCAAGTCACACTACCAGGAAGTGTATGGAACCAGTGAGTCTGGAACCACAGCCTCTGCAGTTAACCACTATGCTAACTCATGGTGAAACAATCCTCAGAGCCCGTGGATTCTGCCTTCTTAATCAGACTCTCAGTTGTCTCTTCCTCTCTACCCCCATGGTCACTGCCCTGGGTTAGGCATTTCATCTTTTCTCATCTGTAACATTGCCACATCCGTCTAAAAGTTCTCCCTGCCCCCATTTAGACTCTCTCTAATCCTTCCTTCCATAACTGACCAAGTTGGAATTTGATGTCCATCTGAGCATGTCATGCGTCTGCCCAAAATCTTTTAAAGGCTTCTCGTTGCCTGTGAGTTAAAACCCAGATTCCTTACAAGGCCCTTCAAGGCCTGGCCCCGCGCACTTTGTGCAGTGTCCTCCTCCTCTCCTGAACCCTGTGTTCCAGACATCACCAAACGTGTGCGCTCCGAGGTTTGCATATTGGTGCCGGGCTATCCCCTCTACCCAGAATGCGTCTTCCTTTTCTCCTCTGTGCAACCTCACATCCTCTCATATGCACATGCATGTATACAAACACACACCCACACACACACACACACACACACACCCTTGTCCACTGGTGACTTCTCTTTGTTCTTTGAGACTCAGCCCCTAGGATGCCTCCTCTATGCAGCTCCCACAATCAGACGTAGGCACCTCTTCCTCCTCTCTGGCATTGCTCCTTCATACCTCTGAGGAAATATATCATTTTCTTATTGTAATTTTCTCTTTAAGATTGGAAGGTCCATGAGGGCAGGGACCATAGTTATCTTGCTACTGTTGTATCCCCAGCGTCTGTACATGTTCATAAGACTTTGTTAAATGAATAAATGAATGACTTGCTGAAATGGTTGATTTTTGAAGTAGATTTCGAAATCTGGGAAACATTTTGTCCTCACATTTTCCCATTGTCAGACTTATCTGCCCGGGGATTTTTGCTGCAATGGGGCTCTAGTTGGAGGTAGAATATACAGTAGTTAAGAATGAAAACTCCAGAGTCACATTACGTGGGCTTAAAACTCGGCTCTGTGGGCCCTTAGGAAGTCACCATCTCACTAAGCCTCAGGGTTTTTTTTACCATAAAACTGAGTTAGTAATAGGGCCTGTCTTAGAGGGCTAATGTGAAGGCGAGTGAGAAAAGAACGTGTGGAGCATTCGGTGGCTGGCTCAGAGCTAGTGCTCAACACATAGCAACTATTATTAGTAGCTACTTTCCTGACAGCTCCACTTGACCCGATTGTGTCAGCACCACTTTTTGAACCAAATGTCTGGAGTCTGGTTCTCAAACATGGACACTCAGTTTCAGCAGGCTTTGCACATGCCGTATTATTGGGTCACCTGGATGCAGGGCCTTAAGGAATATGGATCCAGAGAGTGGCTGAAACCAGAAGTAGCCTTTGGCTTGTAAGTCATGATTTATTGCCTAGAAACCAAAAGTAAGCATCGCCAACCAGTCAGCAGATTACCTGATTTCTTCAAAGTTGCGACCCCTCTGGCCCCTTGCTCTCCCTGGAGTTTGGTAAAACAGAGGTGATTGGTGTAGGCAGTGTGGATTACAGACAGCAATTTCTCCTTCCAGGGAAGGAAGTGGAATGTACAGCCTCTCAGGGTAGGCTGCAGGATGTTTTGTTCCTCCTGTTGGCTGCACAGAGGTTTACAAGAAGCAACCCTGGGCAAACAGCCCCCAGTGTGTGTCCCACACACAGCTGAAAGAAATGCCTTCCTTTTGATTCTCATGCACAATGAGGGAGTGTGGTCTCTTTCTCAGGTGAGTTTTCTAGATCTTGATTCAAGCACTGTCTTTTAGAGGTCGAAAGAGTCTCACTGGAGCCTTGAACTAAATGGCCAAGATTATAAATTGCAAGATTATCCTGCAAATGTGTGTGCCAGTGAAGTGAGTGAGGAGTGACAAGGAAAAGAACAAGATGATTCTTCAAAAGGATTCAAAGACTCACGTCAAATCACTTTCTAAATAACTAAGAAATAGCATAATTTGGGGTCAAGGGTCAGGTCTTCCTTTGAATGTGCAATCCTTCATAATTGTTTTACATGTGACTATTTTAGCAATGCTATCACCCCAGCCATCTTTCTGCAAGAGCTGGCATTTCTGGTTTAAAGGAGACTAGGTTGGAAAATAGGAGTTAACACAAAGGCATTGGTTTTATAATCTATGTGGAGAGGAGAAGTGGATTTTTCCAAATGGATTAATCAGAAAATTTGGTCAAAGGGTATGTTTCCTACCTAGATGAATGACAAAAAGAAACCTTATTGGAAAGATTATGAGATCCCATACCTGTGTCCCTCTTCACAACACCTGCTTTCTCATTTCTTCATTTTTTCCTTCTTTATGTTTTTTATGAAGCAAAATATATTTTTGCTTATTATGTAAAGTCACTCTTAAGTTTCCTCTTGGCTCCTCACCTTGTTTTGTCAGATGGGATTTTCTGTACATTTATCCGAAGGGAGGAATGTGGCAGTAGATCAGAAAGAAAAAAAATGAGTATCCACATCTGTCAGAATGACTAAAATGAAAAATAAATAGACAGTTCCAAGTGCTGACAAGGATGGGAAGCAACTGGAACTCCTCATGCACTGCTGGTGGGAATCCAAAGTGGCACAACCGCTTTGGAAAAGGTTTGTTAATTTCTCCTAAATTTGAACATCTACTTGCCATATGACACAGCAATCTCGCTTCTAGGAATTTCCCCAAGAGAAGTGAAAATAAATATACAATATACACAAAAACTTGCCTACGGATATTTACAGCTGCTTTTTCATAATAGCCAGAAACTGGAAACAACAAAAATGTCTACCACTTG